AGTTTTCAGTTTTGCAATTTTTTAATTTTTCTGTAATTGGTTTTTCAGAATCTTGATTTTTAATTTTTCAATTTTTGTAATGTTAATTCGTTCAAACTTTCGATTTTTCAATTTTTTTTATTCCACAATTTTTAGATATTTTGATTTATCGTTTTTTCAATCTATCCGATTAGAATTTCTAAATTTTTAGTTTTCGATTTCAATTTTACGACTTTTTTTAATTTCCCGTTTTCAATTTTTGAAGTTTTAAAATTTTCGTTTTTGCAGTTATTTGATTTTCCAGTTTTACTATTTTTTGATATTTTTTATACATATGGTTTTCTGAGTTTCTCAATTTGTAAGTTCTCAATTTTTCAAATTTTTATTTTACAATTTTTCGATTTTTTAATTTTTAGATACTTTGATTTCTCGTTTTTTCAATCTACTTAGTTTGAAGTTCAATTTTTCGATTTCAATTTTACAATTTTTTAATTTTTAGATATTATTTTAGTCAGTTTTTCATCTTTTAAATACTTCAGATTTTCAATTTTTAAATTATTCGCTTTTGATTTTTTATTTTACAATTTTTTGATTTTCCAATTTTTAGATATTTTGATTTTCTCGTTTTTTCGATTTTCGACTTGAATTTGAAGTTTTTAGATTTTTCGTGTTTGATTTCTTTAGTTTTTCGATTTCATTTTTAGGATTTCGTTTTTTTACAATTTTTCGTTTTTTCAATTTATGTATTTTTCAATTCTTCTTCTTGCAAGTTCGAATATTGAATTTATAATTTTTCAATTCTTGGAGTATTCGATTTTAAATTTATCGATTTTTCAACTTTGGAATTTTTTAAATTTTCAAGTCTCTGCGAAGCGAATAATTGCTTCGGTTTTTATATTTTATTATTTTTTAAACTCACTTTCAGGGAATTCAAAAATAAAAAGTTGTAAATGAAAAATTGAAAAATTGAAAAAACCGAACATCACAAAATCGACACATTGAAGAAATAAGACTTACAAAATTGAAAATTTCGAGACTGCAAAATGGAATAATTAGAAAATAATAAAAATCTCTTTGAAAAACCGAAAAAATGCAAAGTAACAGAACTAAAAAACCAAAAATTAAAAAATTAAAAAACCTAATGCATAAATAAACCTAAAACTTCCAAAATCGTAAAATTGAGAAACTAAAAATAGAAAAATTTTAAAAACTACATAGAAAAATTTCAAAAAAAAAATTAAAAAATTAATAATCCAGAAATTTAAATCGATAAATTGAAAAATTAAAATGTTGAAAAAAGGAAAAATTGGAAAATTAAAGATTTAACAAGTGTAATATGTAACTGAAAAATCTAAAACTCCAAAATCGAAAAACTGAAAAACCTAAATCGAGAAATCGAATGAAAATTATAAAATCGGAACAGAATTAAAAATCCATAAATTGAAAAATCGATAAATGTAAAAATTAAGGTATTGAAAATATGAAAAACTGGGAAACTGAAAAATTGACCAATGAAAAATTGATAAATGAAAATTTAAAACCGTAAAATTGGAAAATTGGTAAACCTAAAAACCAAAAAATTTAAAATTCTAAAAATTAAAAATCGAAAAATTGAAAATCTGAAAAATTATATAACGAAGAAACTGAAAAATTAAAATTCGGAAACTCTGAAATTGAAATAACGAAAAATCGTAAAATCGAAACATTGAAAGATTAAACATTTCATCAGCGGAAGTTGCAAAATTGAAAAATGGAAAAATTGGGAAAATTAAAAAAATAATAATCAAAAAATCGAAACACTGCAAAACCAAAAAATGTTAAAAAAAAGGAAAAGTTAGAAAATTAAGAATTCTAAAAATTAAAAACCGAAAAATTGAAAAATTGAGACTCACATGACAGAATTCGAAATTTTCCAAAACTGAAAAATCTGATTTCAAAAATCAAACAAACGAAAAATCGGAAACATGAAAAAACCAAAAATCGTAAAACCGAAAAATTTCAAAGTTAAAAATTCCAAAATTGAAAAATGGTAAAATTAAAGAACAAAAAATCAAAAAATTGACAAAATTAAAAACCCCAAAACAGCAAAAGTGAAAAATGGAAAAAATAAAAAACGTAAAACTAGAAACTCAAAATTGAAAAATTTTAAATGCAAAATTCAAAAATTGAAAATCCTGAAACTGAAATCAATAAATTGAAATACTGAAAAATGGAAAAATTGGACAATTTAAATACCCAAAAAAACCGAAAATCGAAAATTTAAAAAATTTTAAATCCAGAAATCAAGGAACTAAAAATCAAAAAATGACAAAAAATGAGAATTTTCATAAATTCAATCAAAAATTGAAAAATCGAAAAAATTAAAAAATTGAAAATGGAAAAATTGGAAAAACGTAAAACCGCAGAAACTCAAAATTGACAAATTTTAAATACAAAATTCAAAAACTGAAAATTCTAAAACTGAAATCGATAGATTTAAAAATTAAAGTACTGAAAATGGAAAAATTAGATAATTAAAAAGTTAACAAACGCAATTAAAAAAGCTGAAACTTTTTTAATTGCACAAAAACTGAAAAATCTGAGTATAAAAATCAAACAAACGAAAAATCGAAAAATTGAAAAAACAAAATCTAATGCATAAGAAAATCGGAGGAACTTAAAATTAAAAAAAAAAGTGAATAGATAAATTGCAAATCGGGAAATTGAAAAATTAAAAATTTAGAAATTGGACAATCGCTAAATTTAAAAATTTAAAAATTTTAAAAAAGGTAATAATCAAAAAGTCCAAAACTCTTAAATCAAAAAATTGAAAAACCGAAATATTGCAAAATTTAAATACCCAAAAAAACCGAAAATCGAAAACTCTAAAATTTTAAATCGAGAAATTAAAGAACTGAAAATCAAAAAATGACAAAAAATGAGAATTTTCATAAATTCAATCAAAAATTGAAAAATCGAAAAATTAACTAAAAACGGCAAAATTTAGATGGAAAATTCAAAAATTGAAAATTCTAAAATAGAAATCCGCAAATTTAAAAATTAACATATTGAAAAATGGAAAAATTGGAAAATTAAAAAGTTTACAAAGGTAATAATCGAAAAATCTATGACTTTAAAATCTGAAAAATTGAAAATAAAAAAAAATTTAAATTCAGGATGAAAATCTAGAATTCGAAAAATCGGTTGACTGTTATTTTACATTAAGTTACTGAGAATTTGAAATTTTGAAAGCTGAAAAATCGCGGAATTCCAAAATAAAGAATAGACAAATCGAAAAATTGAAATAATGAAAAAACGTAAACTGGAAACATTGAAAAATTAAAATTTTCATACGTTCCAAAGTTGAAGGATGGAAAAATTGGGAAAATTAAAAAAATGGAAAATTTGCAAAACCACAAATGGAAAACTAGAAAAGTTGCAAATCGAATAATTGGAAAATTGAAAATCCGGAAATTGAAATCGCAAATTTCAAAATTAATTTCTTCAAAAATGGAGAAATTGGAAAATAGAATAATTAATAAAAAATTTAACAATTGAAAAATCTTAAACTTCAAAATAAAAGAATCGAACAACTGAAAAACTAAAAATCAAAAAATTGACAGAGTGAGAATTTTCATAAATTCAATTAAAAATTGAAAAATCGAAAAAATTAAAAAATTTAAAATGGAAAAATTGGAAAAACGTAAAACCGCAGAAACTCAAAATTGACAAAGTTTAAATACAAAATTCTACAACTGAAAATTCTAAAACTGAAATCGATAGATTTAAAAATTAAAGTACTGAAAATGGAAAAATTAGAAAATTAAAAATTTAACAAACGCAATTAAAAAAGCTGAAACTTTAAAATCGCAAAACTGAAAAATCTGAGTATAAAAATCAAACAAACGAAAAATCCAAAAACTGAAAAAATAAAATCTAATGCATAAGAAAATCGGAGGAACTTAAAATTAAAAAACAGTGAATAGATAAATTGCAAATCGGGAAATTGAAAAATTAAAAATCTAGAAATTGGATAATCGCTAAATTTAAAAATTCAAAAATTTTAACAAAGGTAATAATTAAAAAGTCCAAAACTGGTAAATCGAAAAATTGAAAAACCGAAATATTGGAAAATTTAAATACCCCAAAAAACCGAAAATCGAAAATTTAAAAAATTTTAAATCCAGAAATAAAAGAACTAAAAATCAAAAAAATGGCAAAAATGAGAATTTTCATAAATTCAATCAAAAATTGAAAAATCGAAAAAATTAACTAAAAACGGCAAAATTGAAAATTGGAATAATTGGAAAAACGTAAAACTGTAGAAACTCAAAACTGAAAAATTTAAATGAAAAATTCAAAAATTGAAAATTCTGAAGTTGAAATCGACAAATTTAAAAATTAAAATACTGAAAAATGGAAAAATTGGAAAATTAAAAAGTTAACAAATCTAATAGTCGAAAAATCCGAAACTTTTTAAAATCCGAAAAATTGAAAATTTAAAAAATTTAAAATTGAGGAATTGAAAAACTAGAATTCTAAAAATCGGTTGACTGTTATTTTACATTAAATTACTGAGAATTCAAAAATTTTCAAAACTGAAAACTTGAGTTCAAAAATCGAAAAAATTAAGTAAAATCGAAATATTGAAAAATAAATAATTTCAAAATTGAAAATTTCAAAACTGAAAATTGGGAAAATTGAAAAATCGATAAATTAGAACATCGAAAAATTGAAAAACTAAAAATCCAGAAACTGAAATGGAAAAATTAGAAAATTGAAAAATGAACAAATGTCGTGACGGTGATTTGATAACAGTTCCAATCCTATGTTAACCAATTTTTTTTTTTTTTTTGGAAAAATTTTGAAAACCGTAAACTCACTTGTCCTGTTTATTTTAGCAGCTTTGAGTGTAGTTTATGTAATTTTTCGTCAATTTAAAATTCGGTAACTGCAAAACATTCATCATGGTTGTTTCCAATAATCGAACATGACTAAATTTTCATAGAAAGACTATTTTTAAAACAAAAGAACTTTATTGTCACCAGACAAATAAAAAAATATTACAAATATCAAAACACAAAAATTACACGCTTTCTCCCACAGGTTTAATCAGCAATTCATGCACCTGAAACCAAAACAAACATCAAGACTTTCCATTTTCCGCAAAATTATGTTCGTGCTATTACCTGAACGTGTTCAGGCGTCCCCAACACGTACGACACCGCATCTGCTACATCTTCAGCTTTCAGATAAGGCACCGTCTTCAAAAATTCCTTAACGTTCGGATCCGTCACATAATTATTCGCCTCCAGCAGCTCCGTCGTAACCCCTCCAGGACTAACACTCTAAATTAAACACACAAAAACCAACTCGTCGTTACACATTTCGACAACCCCTCACCGTTATCCTAATTTTCAGTCCAAGACTATTCAACTCCTGGCGCAGCGTCTCGGTAAGCGCGGTTACGGCATGTTTGGAGGCCGGATACACGTTCATGTTCGGAATATTCGGTACTTTATGACCAGCAACGCTATTAATGTGAATTATGTGGCCGTCGATTCTGTTCGCTTTCATGATTTTTACGGCTTCTCTCGTAGCGACGCACAGGCCCATGACATTGGTATCGAAAACTTTCTTCCATTCTTCGGTGCTTCCGTCAACTAGGGTGGAATTCGGGAGGACGCCGGCGTTGTTGATGAGGATGCTGACGGGGCCGAGTTTCTCTGAGACCCATTTGAAGCCTGCTAGGATGTCTTCTTCCTTCGAGATGTCGACTTTGACGGCGTGGAGTTTTCCTTTTGTGCGGCAGAGCTTTTTAGCTAAAGCTTCGATTTTGTCGGTGCGGCGGGCGAAGCCTACGACCTGGGTGGAATGGAGTCTTTTGAGTGGGTAAAAATCGGGGGTGGGTATTTGGTACCTGTAATCCTGCGTCCACGAGCTGTTCGACGATCGCCGCCCCAATTCCTGCGCTGGCACCGGTGACGATTGCCACTTTGCCTTTCCAACGTTTCATTGAGATGACCATTTTCAAGCACTGAATATAACTATCAATCTTGTTTAGTGGGTTTGTTGAGTTTTATAATTACAATTATCTAACACCGTATATATAGTGGGAGATTTTGCTAAATCATAACCTTGAATGCTTCCAGTAATTTCTCTAGTGCAATGTTGTGTCACTCAATCTCAATTAAGTGCTGTTAAAATTACATGGAGCAAAATTGTAAAGTCAGATAAGATAACCTGTGAAAAAATCTTGATGTAATGTATATAGGGTGATTCAATATGGGCTGTCTGTTCAATATCTCGTTTATTATCATTTATTAGCACATTTCACTCTTGAAATTCCGTTGGCAAAACAAAAGGGTCTAAAATCAGAATAATCATTTATTTGAGTATTATTCTTGTATATATTTTTGAGTGCTTTCGTTATCAACTGGTTACTACAGAGTGCACTTTGCTAGATAAGTTTAAAAGTAAAAAAGTTTATTGCAACATTGTAATTTTAGTAATAACACACATACATTGCTTAAGAAAATATAGTTCCAGAATAAATGTTATCAAATTCCGTCTATTCAAATTTTTCTGTCCAATAGCTGGCGTTTCGGGGACTAAAAACCCTAAAATAAATAAAATTTCGAAATATCAAATTTTATAATTTTTCGAAGAAACTGGATTTGTTGGACTCTACTTCAGGGGATAGGAGAACGAAATTGAAAAACTAAACATCCGAAAATTGTAAAATGGAAACAATGAAAAATAAAAAATAAGAAAATGAAAAATGGATAAAATCTAAAAATCAAAAAATTTGATGACTGAAAAATTAAAAAATTCATCCTGAAAATTCCAAAATTGAAAAATGGAAAAAAAATAACTGAAGCGGTAGAAAAATTGTAATATCACAAAATTACAAAATCGAAAAATTAAAAAATCCAACAAGCAAAATCGTAAATTTGCAGGATGCCAGAATTGAAAAGTTTGAAATGGAAAAATCGATAAATTTTAAACTTGAAATCTTGAAAAATCTAGAAATGTAATAAAATCAGAAAATTAAAAATTTGAAAATTTGAAATCGAGAAATTGAAATGCTAAAATTCCACAAAATTGAAAAATCCAAAAATTGGAAATCCACAGATTGAAAAATCGATACATTCAAATATTCAAATATTGAAAAATCTAAAACTTTAAAATCGAAAAGTTGAAAAATCGAAAAACTATTAAGGAAAAAATTGAAAAGTAAAAAAATTTAAAATCGAGAAGTTGAAAAGCTAAAAATCAAAAAATCGGAACACTGAGAATACGAAAATTTTTAAAACTGAAAAATCGGACAATTTAAAAACCGAAAATTGAAAAATCGAATAACTGAAAGATTAAAAATTTCATACACTGAAAATTCCAAAATTGAAAAATGGAAAAAATAACTGAAGGTTCGAAAAATCGCAAAATCAGAAAATTAAAAATCAAAAAATTGAAAAATTAAAAAATCTAAAGCATGAATAAACCGAAAAGGTGCAAAATCGATAAATTTAAATTTGAAATCTTAAAATACGCATAAATTGGAAGACTTGAATTGAATCGAAAAATCTCAACGCTTCAAATCGAAAAATTGAAAAATCAAAAAACTAGAAAATCGAAAAATTGAAAAATTAAAACATCTAAAAATTAAAAAAAAAAATTTGAAATGATGATTGAGAATTCCAAAATTTTCAAATTTGAAAAATCAGAGAATCCAAAAATCAAAAATCGGGGAATCGGAAAATTGTAATAACGACAAATTCGTAAGATCGAAACATGAAAAACTAAAAATCTTAAATTAATAAATGGAATAACGGAAAATTGAAAAAAAATCTAATACGTAACTGAAAATTCGAAAACTTGCAAAATCACTAAATTGGAAAATTAAAAAAGTCGAAAATCTGGAAAAACGTTAAACTGCAGAAACCCAAAATTGAAAAACTGAAAACGAAAAACTAGAATAAGAGTAATTTGAAAAATAAAAAATCAGAAATTAAAAAATCGATAAATTTAAAAATTGGAATATTGAAAATTGGAAAACTTGGAAAAATGAAAAACTAACAAATGTAATAATTGAAAAATTTCAAAGCGTAAAATCGAAAAATTGAAAAATCAAAAAATTAGAAAGCCGGAAAATAAAAAAATTGAAAACTGTAGAAATTTAATAAAGTTCGAAAACTGGAGATTTGAAAAACTTAAAATCGAGAAATTGAAAAGCCAACATTCGAAAAATGATTTATAAATCAAATATTTTGAAAACTAAAAAATCAGGGAATTCAGAAATCAAAAATTTAAATGAAAAATTCGTAAAATCGGAAGACTAAAAAATCAAAAATCTTAAACATTGACAAATAGAACAATTGGAAAATTGGAAAAAAGTCTAACAGGTAACTGAAAGAACGAAAAATTACAAAATCATAAAACTTAGAAAACAAAGAAGTCGTCAAAAAACCGAAAATCTGCAAAATCGTTAAATTGTAGAAATCCAAAATAGAAAATTTTAAATGGAAAACTAGGAAAAGAATAAATCTAAAAACTGTAAAATTAAAACATTAGAAATTGAAAAATCGATATATTTAAATATTCAAATATTGAAAAATGGCAATATTGGGAAATTGAAAAATTAATAAATGTAACAATTGAAAAATCTAAAACTTTAAAATCGAAAAGTTGAAAAATCGAAAAACTCTTAAGGGAAAAATTGAAAATTAAAAAAAAAATTAAATCGAGGACTTGAAAACCTAAAAATCAAAAAATCCGATTACTCGGAATTCGAAAATTTTCAAAACTGAAAAATTGGACAATTTAAAAACCAAAAATTGAAAAATCGAATAATAGAAACATTGAAAATTTCAAAACTGAAAATTCCAAAATTGAAAAATGGAAAAAATAACTGAAGGTTCGGAAAATTGAAAAATCACAATAAAAAATTGAAAAATTGAAAAATAAAAAAATCTAAAGGATGAAAAAATCGAAAACGTACAAAATCGTAAATTTGCAAACCGAAACAGTGAAAAGTTAAAAATCTGGAAATTGAAACATCCATAAATTTAAATTTGAAATCTTAAAAAACGGAAAACTTGGAAGACTCGAGTTGTATTGAAAAATCTCAACGCTTCAAATCGAAAAATTGAAACATCTATAAATTAAAAAAAATCTGAAATGATGACTGAGAATTCCAAAATTTTCAAACTTAAAAATCAGAGAATCCAAAAATCAAAAATCGTCGTCGTAACCGAAAACTTGCAAAATCACTAAATTGAAAAATCAAAAAATTGGTTAATTAAAAAAGTCGAAAGTCTGCAAAAACGTTAAACTGCAGAAACTCAAAATTGAAAAACTGAAAACGGAAAACTAGAAAAAGAGTAAATTGAAAAATAAAAAAATCAGAATTTAAAAAAAAACAATAAATTTAAAAATTTAAAAGTTTAAAATCGAAAAATTGAAAATTCAAAAAATTAGAAAACCCGAAAAATAAAAAAAATTGAAAACCGTAGTTCGAAAACTGGAGATTTGAAAAACTTAAAATCTTAAAATCGAGAAATTGAAAAGCTAAAATTCCAAAATTTTCAAAACTGAAAAATCAGGGCATTCAGAAATCAAAAATTGAAATGAAAAATTCGTAAAAATCGCAAGACTGAAAAATCAAAAATCTTAAAAATTGACAAATGGAACAATGTAACGCGTAACTGAAAGAACAAAAAATTACAAAATCATAAAACTGAAAAATCAAAGAAGTCGTCAAAAAACCGAAAATCTGCAAAATCGTTCAATTGTAGAAATCCAAAAGAGAATATTTTAAATGGAAAACTAGGAATAGAATAAATCTAAAAACTGAAAAATTAAAAATTCAGAAATTGAAAAATCGATGATTTAAAAAAAATGGAAATATTGGAAAATTGAAAAATTAATAAATGTAACAATTGTAAAATCTAAAAACTTTGAAATCGTAAAATTTATAATCATGAAATTGAAAAACTAAAAATCGAAAATTGGGATGATTGTATGATTGAGAATTCGAAAATTTGGAAACTGAAAAATCAGAGAAAAAGGGAATAATTGAAAAAATTAAAAATCTTAAACATTTACACATCTAAAAATTAAAAATCCGTAAATTGAAACACGAAAAATTTAAAGAATCAGAATTCGAAAATTTTCAAAACTAAAAAACCCGGGAATTCAAAAATCGAAAATTGAAAGATTAAAAATTTCAAAACTGAAAGTTCCGCAATTGAAAAATGGATAAAAATAATTGAAGGCTCGAAAAACTGCAAAATCACCAAATTAAAAAAACAAAAAATTGAAAAATGAAAAAATCTAAATCATGAAAAAATTGAAAATGTGCAAAGTCGTAAATTTACAGAAAGCCATAATTGACAAGTTTGAAATAGAAAACCAGGAAAAATTAAAAAAATTTTAATAAAAATTTAAAAGTAACTGAAAATTAGAAAAACTTAAAATCGAAAAATTGAAAAACTAAAATTTGAAAAATTGGTTGATTGAGAATTCGTTTCCAATCCAAAAAATCGGGAAACTCGAAAATCAAAAATAGAAAACGAAAAATCGTAAAATACAAATATTGAAGAATTAAAAACTTCAAAATAGAAATTTCCAAAACTGGCAAATGAAAAAATTGGACGAATAACTGAAAAATCGAAAACTGCAAAATCGCAAAATAAAAAAAAAATGAAAAATTAAAAATCTAACAGAAACTCAAAATTAAAAAATTTAAAATGAAAAACTAGAAAATCCAGAAATTGAAATCGAAAAATTTAAAAATTTAGATATTGAAAAATCGAAAATTTGCAAAATCACAAAATTGAAAATTCGAAAAATTGGGCAATTAAAAGAGTCGAAAATCTGCACATTCATTAAATTGCTGAAACTCAAAATTGAAAACTTTAAAATCAAAACCTAGGAAAAGAACAAATCCAAATTTGAAAAATTACAAATCTAGTAATTGATAAATCAATAAACTTAAAAATTAAAATTTTGAAAAATGGAAATATTGTAAAATTAAAAAATTGGACGAATAACTGAAAGAT